CCTGCTCCCACCGCGACGGGACAGCCGCGAACGCCCCTTCCCAAAGCACAAACAGGGCAGTGTTCAGGACTGCTCTACCCCTGGGCTGAGGCCTCTCGGGTGAGGCCAAAGTAAGCAGCTCCTACACAGCAAGCTCCTCTCCGGGGCTGGGAAAGCTCCGACCGGAGCGCAAACAAATCACACTTACAGAAGACACCTCTTACCTCTGCAAAGCCTCCCCTCGTCCCTCTTTCTTCCACAGCCCCCTTGCTGCCCTCTAGCTCGGTCCCTTTGGCAAGGGGACGGGCAGCACAGGAAATGGGTGTCCCTGCACAGCCGCGTTCCTCGGCTTCTGCTCCCTTTCGTTCCCCCCTCTGCTCCCCGAGGGTACCGGCAGGCTCTGGGAGCCTGGCAGGACCCAGCTGCGAGAGGGCGGGAGCCACCAAGGAACAGCGACTCGTGCTCACAGCATCGCACCCGCTCTCCCCGAGGTGGGTGATGGAGCCTGGTTTGGGCAGGAAAGCTGGTGCCTCGCTGGGCCAGGACGGCTGGTTGCATGGGCTGGGGTCACTCACTGAGCAGCGAGGCCAGACGCACACGGGGACGTCCAAGCAGGAGAGGACCAGAGCAAGCCCCACCAGCCAGCTGCGCCCTTCTCCGTGGCCACTTGAGGACGGCACCCTTTGCCATGGCGGTCCCAGCAGCAGGACCAGCACAGCCCACAGCGGGAGCACCCCTGGCGAGAGTCCGGCGTGCATGGGCTGGGGTCACTCACTGAGCAGCGAGGCCAGACGCACACGGGGACGTCCAAGCAGGAGAGGACCAGAGCAAGCCCCACCAGCCAGCTGCGCCCTTCTCCGTGGCCACTTGAGGACGGCACCCTTTGCCATGGCGGTCCCAGCAGCAGGACCAGCACAGCCCACAGCGGGAGCACCCCTGGCGAGAGTCCGGCGGAGGGCTGTGAGGATGATGGGGGGACAGGAGCATCTCTCCTATGAGGAAAGGCTGAGGGAGCTGGGCTTGGTTAGCCT